TCTTCGGATTTGCTGGTTCTGAGCAACATTCCACATCACACCATTCTCCGTCTCATTCACCTTAGTTACACCTTACATTTAGTGTTAAAGTTAGTCTAGTTTAATTTGTTTAGTAATACATTTTTAAACTTTTAAACTCGACTCTCTCTCTTCTGTTGTCTCTGAGTGAATACGAAGCTGTTACCTAATCCCTGCAATAAAAAGTTCTGATCTTCTGGTTTAAAATAACCTCACAGATCCATATGGTTGATTTCAAATTTGCTATGGAATCTTTTGTCTTATGGCTTATTAAATAACATGTAATTTAAATCATTACACTTTCAAACTGTCTCTTCATGCTATTGGACAATGAACAATGTGACAAACTCACCGCTACGGATGTCAGTCAGCAGGGCAGCCATCAAAGAGGATGCAACCACATCCTTTATCTAAATACAAGGATTTAAAGGGATATTCCACCCCTAAGAGAAATGTAGTCTCCTACCATAATATCCAGAGTTAGATCAGTGGGAAAAATCATTTCGTACCCAGCCCAGTCATTCCCCTAATCTGACAGTTTTCTGTTTGCTTTAGCTTAGCATAGATAATGTAAGTGAATGGTAACAGCTAGCATTTTGTGTGAAAAAGTCTGAGGTGGTTTTGCGCAGTGGTGAAACTCAGCAGGCTATGGTGCTCTCACCGTTACTGTTCACCTTCTACACCTCAGACTTCACCTGCTACACCAGCAGCTGTCACTTCCAGAAGTTGTCAGATGACTGGGCCATAGTCGGCTGTGTGTCTGAGGGGAATGATATGGCGTACAAGTGGACTGGTGTGAGCGTCACCACCTTCGCTTGAACACCAGTAAGACAAAGGAAACATTCCTCCTCCCTCACCAGTAAACATCCAGGGTGCAGATACTGAGGTGGTGGATAGCTTTAAGTACCTGGGTGTTCACTTCAACAATAAAATGAACCGGTCCAACAACACAAATGTTCTGTATAAGAGGGGCCAAAGCCGCCTCCACCTCCTGAGGAGGCGGTCCTTTAGAGTTAATTCCAATCAGCTAAAATCTTTTCATCACTCTGTGGTTGGCTCTGTTATCCACTCTGCTGTGGTCTGTTGGGGCACAGGCAGCTCTGACTGAGACAGGAAGAGACTGAAAAAGCTATTTAACAAGCTAGCTTGGTTCTGGGCTGCCCACTGGATTCAATTAAGGAGACGTGTGAAAGGAGGGTAGTGAAGATGACCACAATCTTCAAAAACTCCTCCTACCCACTGTGTTCCTCTGTGGAGACCATTGACTGCTCCTTCAGAGGCAGACTGAGACATTCCAGATGTAAAACAGAACGCTACCATAGGTCATTCATCCCCTCTGCAGTAAGAGTGTTTAACTCTGTTTAACTGGTACTGGCATTATCCTGGTACACAATAACATCAATGCAATATTTAGTATGCGTTCAATACTTGTGCAATACTGGATGTACATTAGTATGTCTGTGTCCCTTATGCTGCATAGTTCTGAATCCAAGTTTTCTTTTAATTTGTTGTTTTCAGTGGTTGAAGGTTACAATAATAGCTTATTACCTTTGTGTGTTTATCTGTAATTTTGTTATTATCTCTAAGTATTTGTGCTACTGTAACAAATGAATTTCCTCACTGTGGGATTAATAAAGTCTATTGTATTCTATTCTATTTTATTTTATTTTATTCTCGGTAACCACAATACAACAAATGAAAATAGTTTATGTTTACGTTTATGTATTTAGCAGACACTTTTGTCCAAAGCGACTTACAAGTGATAATCGGCATGTTGCCCTTGAGGCTAACAACAACAATAACAACAACAACTTGACATCAATCATGGAGAGGAGGGAACAAAGGAGTGGACGGTAGGGGGGGGGGGGGGGGGGGTTCAGGGAGGGTGCTAGTTTAGAAGATGCTCTCTGAAGAGCAGGGTCTTCAGGAGTTTCTTGAAAATTGAAAAAGAAGCCGCTGTTCTGGTAGTGCTTGGAAGGTCATTCCACATTTGTGGAACGATGCATGAGAAGAGTCTGGATTGTCCTGAGCGTGGTGTAGACACTGCTAGCCGATGAACCTGTGATGACCGGAGCGGCCGGGCCGAGACGTAAGCCTTTGCAAGAGGATTCAGGTAGATGGGAGCCGTACCATCTCGGACTTTGTATGCTAGTGTTAGCAATTTGAATTTGATGCGTGCTGTTAGCGGTAGCCAGTGGAGCTCAATGAACAGAGGGGTGACGTGTGCTCTTTTTGGCTGATTGAAGACCAGACGCGCCGCTGCGTTCTGGACCATTTGAAGAGGTTTCACAGTACAGCCTGGAAGACCAGTTAGAAGGGCATTGCAGTAGTCGAGGCGGGAGATGACAGTAGATTGCACCAGGAGCTGGGTGGCATGTTGTGTTAGGTATGGTCTGATCTTTCGTACGTTATACAGCGTAAAGCGGCATGAACGAGCAGCAGAGGCAACATGATCTTTAAAGGTCAGGTGTTCATCTATCACAACACCCAGATTTCGAGCTGCCTTTGAAGGAGCCAGAGATAGGAAGTCATTTTGGATTGAGACATTGTGCTGTATGGATGTTTTTGCTGGGATGACAAGTAGTTCAGTTTTAGAGAGGTTGAGTTGGAGATGGTGGGATTTCATCCATTTTGCTATGTCAGAGAGACAGTTTGATATTCGTGCAGAGACAGTGTGGTCGTCCGGTGGAAATGACATATAGAGCTGGGTGTCGTCTGCATAGCAGTGGTAGGAGAAGCCATGTGATCGAATGATATAACCCAGTGAGGTGGTGAATATGGCAAAGAGAAGAGGTCCTAGTACAGAGCCCTGGGGGACTCCTGTGGCAAGATGGTGCACGGTAGAGGATTGTCCAAGCCAAGATACACTGAATGATCGTCCTGTGAGGTACGATTCAAACCAGGCATGTGCTTTCTCTGTGATGCCCATGGTGGAGAGTGTGGACAAAAGGAAGCCAAAACAGTAACACAAAGAAATGTAATGAGCCGATTAGACTTGGGACTGCATTTTGAAAAAGCGTTACTGTTAGCCGCCGGCTGCAAGGACACAACACAGTGGCCCCAAAAGACACCTACTTGTCTCCTACATACTGTGCCATTTTTGGATCTACTTAGAATGCTGTTCCTTCAAAACACTGTACCGTGTATAAGCCTAGTAGCCATACATTTGTATTTACGGAAGCAGGTCTTTTTTATTTGAATGATTAAAATGCTAGATGTTACCATTAAACTGCATTATTTATGATAAGCTAAAGCAAATAGAAAACTGCCAGATTGGGAAACTAACTGGGCTGTTTACAAAATGCTTTTTCCCTCTTATCTAACTCTGGGGAATATGACCATAGACTAAGTTTCATTAACATCCTCAGTCTGCTCTAAATTGTCCAAAGTTGATGCCAAAGCCATTTTAAAGGAGTCCTCGCTATCTCAGTTGTTCTGCTCTGTTGCATCGTTCTGCCCATCAAACAGACAGAGCGCTGTGATTGGCCAAACAAACCAAAAGTACGCTGTTATTGGCCTAATCATTGCCTCAGTGCCACTTTCTCAGCTCAGTCCACCAGGCAAAGCCTTCTTTAGGCACATGTTTTTACAGGAACTGTGGGTGAAGTAAGCCTCCACCCAGGATGTGACTTACCCCCAGAAAAGCGCTTCACCCTCTGTAGTCCTGGCGGAGAAATGGAAAAGTCCAAAGAGAAAACGTCTCTGTTAATGCGTGTGCACAAGTCAGAACCTGAGTTGATGCAGAAGTATAAATCAGCGATTTGACAAAAGCCAAAAATAGTTTTGAGTGTAGAATGAAATGTCTTGAAATGTCAAAAGATAAGGGGAAAGGGATATTTCCCTAAGTGAATTTTTGTCTGTTGCCATGTTACAAAGAGTTAAATAAGTGTGAAAAAGCATAATGTATACAGTATCGTTGTTCTCATCTGGCAGAATTTTGTTTTCTTTAGCCTAGCATAAATGATTGAAAGGCTATTGAAAGGCTAGCTGTTACCATTCACTTACATTGTGTATGCTAAGCTAAAGCTAATGGCCAGATTAAGAGAATGACTGCGGTGATTACGAAGTGCTTTTCCCCACTCATCTAACTCTGGGAATATGGTAACAAACAAAATTTTACTTAGGGGTGGAAAATCTTTACAGGCTGCTGGAAAAATTGGAACTAAGCTGAAGTGTTTGTAATTATTAGTAGAAATATTTTAATTTGCTGAAGGGACAACTAAACATTTCAATTACAAAGCCATAAAAATTAGGAAGAAAAGTTACATTGGGATATGTCAAAAGATTAGTGGAACAGAGGATCAGACATTTAAAATAGTCCAAAAGGTAAATGGAATGAAAAAAAGGATGGTGAAAAAGAAGCAAGACTTTTGGAAATAACAAAATGTTGGTGTAAAATGCATATATATATATATATATATATATATATATATATATATATATATATATATATATATATATATATATATATATATATATATATATATATATATATATATGTATGTATAATTTATGAACAGGTACAAGTGCAAGAAGAATCTGGAGGGGAGTGATTCTTACCCAAGAATATAATTCAGAAGGATTTAATCTGTTTAGTTCCTGTTTTAACTCACTGGAACAGTCAGAAATGTTTAAAATTATAATGAGAAAAGTGAAGATGTACTTAATCATATGATAACCGGCAAGGTTTCCTGTGTGAAATAAAAGGATCACAGTATTGAATCAACATTCAAACAAGAAAGGAATAAAAGGAAGTAGTAGACTATGAAATAAAATAATCTAAAAATGAAAGAAATATGTCTATCTGTCCCTTAGTTTTGTAGAATTGGTGAGGAATCATTATACACATTTATAACATGTTTTGAAAAGCTGCACCTCTTTTTTTTACCTTTAAAAGAAAGGTTTTGTATTTAATCGTTACTACATCACATTTACTTTGAAAAACGGGGAATGAAACATCTTTTCCTGTCTAGAAGAACGCGATTGGCTGAGCTGAACCACGTGGCATAATGGTAAAGCGCGGCGTTCAAATATTGCTTCCGGTTTGTCTTTACGGTACACCAAAATGGAGAGGCCTCAAACAAGGTAGAATTATGACCTATTCTCGTTTTTCACAAATTAAAAATATTATTTTCAGCACTGAGCTCATTTTTGTCAATCAAATTCGTCCTAATTATTCAGTTTGGCGTCACTTTTTCGCTAGCCACTGATTTCCTTAGAAGCCATTTTGCCAAATTGCGTTAACTTATCAGAGAATCGAATAATATTTTACTTTTATTTATATACTCTCTGTTTATTATTGTTATATAACATACATTTACGAATATTACATTATAATTATCAATTCGGCTTGCGTCTTATACCAGATTAAGCTATATAACAACTTAAAACTTGAGCTTTTACGATTTTTGTTTTTGTCACTACATAAGAAACGTCACAGACCCTGCATAATAGATTTTATTATATATTTTCGTGTTAATGAACATAATTCGTTAAACTTCCTGTTCTTTATATCCTGATCTTTATATAAATCATCAGACATAGCAGGATGTCATTCTCCAACTAGGAAATAAGGACAGATAAAAATAAGTCTGCATGTGTCTGGTTTTCATTTTGAGAAGGACTCCTCTCTCTGGTGGTGTGGAGAAGAGGATGAGCAAGAGTCGGAGCTACCGTCTGTCGCTCCGTAGCTGTGTTTCTTCAAGGCTTGGTCTGACTCCAGGATGGACTACACGGAGACTCAACAGCAAGAGAAAAGCTCCAAAGTCTCAGAACATCACTGTAAGTTGTGCCGGGCAATCACTATAATAATATATATGAAGATGTTTACTTCTTTTGAGTCAGGCGTGAAAGTTTGATCTCATTTTCCACCATATTTCCTCCCAAGAACCAGGTGAGTCCAGATCACCTGGCTCTGCTGGTGAAACACGAATGGCAGCTGTCGTACGTTAGCCCCCTCTACCACTTCAGACACACCCAACTCAAAAGCTACGCGAGACAGCTGTCAGCGTTCATCGCCGCAGAGAAGCAGCAGGGTTTGGCTGTGGAAGTGGGAATTCAGGACAGCTTCAAGGTCTCGTTTTCTGGGGTGCAGGGGTTGGCGGTGGCGGATGATGACCCGGAGACGGTCCTCATACAGGTATGAATTTGAGGATCGTCAGGTGCATTTAAGGAGAGAATGAGACTGAAGCTCGATCTGATTGCTTCCGCAGGTGCACACAAAGCCAGTGTTTGCTCAGCAGGACGATCCTCTGAAGTTGGTGTGGAGTGGCTGGCTGACCTGCTGCAACGGTAGTCCTGAATATCTGCACTCACTTCCCAAAGACTTCACCTGTCTGCCTCTGTTTGGCAGCAGTGGAGCTCAAAATCTCACCTCCTTGGTCAAATCCTGGTTTCAGAAGAATTTTGACTGCTCTTTCGGACCCCTGGAGATCAACCACACCAGCCTGGAATGGCTTGTGGCCTTATGGACGAATTGTAACACAGAAACCAATATCCAGAACCTGAAAATGCTTTGGACTCTGCCGGTTGAGCCGCCGCTTCAGGTAACCTATGTCGTCGAGGGCAATGACGCATGGGACCTGTGGAGCAGCCTGCAGCAGAGGTCAGAGGGGGACGGTGGCGAGGAAGCGGGCTGGATTGGCATCGAGGAGGTGACGGCCTTCATGCAGGGACTCAAGAATCACTTCTACCGACACTTCAGGTTGGAGCTTTCAGCCGGGAACTTGAGCCAGGTCTCCACATCGCTTGGATCGGCTAAATGCAACGGCAAGATCAAGGTACCTCACTAACGTCTCATGTAGGATGGGACACAAATGTAAGCGCGAATGCTATGCTAATCATTTAGCTGTAAGACAAAACATAAACTCCTTTTGTTCCCTTCCCTCCTCTTCCACTGTTAGCTTGAAGTTTGCAGACTGACATCTATGCAAGTTGAGTTAGCATTCAAGCTAGGTTGGTGTGCTAAGCTAACTGATGCGTCAGTGTGTCACCCCATAGTGTATGCTGTAGTGATGGGAATTCCGGCTCTTTTTAGAGAGCCGGCTCTTTCGGCTCCCAAGTGGCTACTCAGATTTTCTGTTGCGTAGAGTACATTTATAACCAAAATAATGCTAAACTATATGTAAAATAATTTACTAATGTAAAAAAAAGCAATATATCAAATATTTATCATTTCTATGGATTTAATAACTGAACACTTTAAGAAATCTCCACTTTCCGACTGCTGGCGCTCATTTTCTCACCGTCTTCGTCGCACTCTCCTCCCTCTCGCTCGCCTTTTTCCTCCTCCTCATTCCCTCTCGTCTCCCTCCTCCCACATGTGCTCTGCTGGGTGTCTGTCTGAGTCTGATCCTCCCGCTTCCCCGCCCCTACTGCTCTGTGTGCGGACATTCTGGACACACAGTTACACATGTTGACCAATCGCCTGTAGCTTTCACTGGGGCAGGGGGGAGGGGAAGGGACGGCTCCCAATGACGAGCCGACTCCCGTCGTTCACTTCAAAGAGCCGGCTCTTAGACCCGGTTCGTTCGCGACCGACACATCACTAGTATGCTGGGAACTGGGCAGCAACTCGACTGATTAACGCTCTTGACTCGCATAAGTGATTCATTTTGCTGTAGAGGTTGGGGGGAGGGTATTTAATAATGAAATATTACCTATTTTCTATCGTAGGAAAGGGTCAGACAGCCACATTTAAGCATTCTTTGAGTTAATTTTAGTTTTTAAACTATGCACCCCAGCTTTAAAGGGCGCGACATATCTCGTGACCAGCTAGATGTACGTCTACAGCTGATTCCCTGTGGAAACCACAAACCGTCCAACTTAGAACAAACAAAAACAACGTTAACATTTTACAGCTGTGAGTAAAGGTCTGATGATTTAATGGCGGAGAATCTCTCTCTCACACACACACACACACACACACACTGTTATCCTGCTAGATTGCTTGTAAACTTTATTTTAGAGCTGCACCATTTCTGGTTGTGAGATTTGATGCACAGGATCGAGCAGCTGATACGGACGTTGTTTGCTTTGTTTCAGATGACTTTAATCACTAATTTAGTTAAAGAAATAACTCAAACATTCTTACTGGAAGTAAAAACTTTCATTGGGAAGATCTGTTGCTAGCATGAATTAGCAGTTAGCAACAGTGTGTTGTTTTTTTTTCAGGATGCTAAACACACCTGTTTTGATTTTTCCTTATGAATATAAAACCATAGAAAACAGTAGGTCAGATTTATGTTAGCTGCTTACGGTGAGTGTGTGTGTGATGGTAACAAATGTCCTGTTTAATTTCAGGTGTCCAACAGCAGATATATGATCACCACCCTGACTCTGCTGACAGAATGTGCCCTCCTGAAAATGCCCGTCTGACCCTGGAGACCAACAGCAACACCGTCTTCTTTTTATCATTGCAGAAAGCACCGGGTCAAACAGAAAAGCAGCCCGTTGTTTTGTTTTTTTAAATACATTGTCTACTGGAGAATCGTGATTAGCATGATTTATGTTTCCGACTTTAGACGTTTTGTGCTTTAATGTATTAAATTTACAAGTCATTTTATTTTTCACATCTTTCACCCGTTTTAACCGACATGCTTTTGTAATGGAACAAAAATAGACCATCGTCATCAACCTTTATTTATAAAGCACATTTAAACGGCGACAACGCCAACCAAAGTGCTGTACGCGACGATACGTCACCAAACTAGATACAGCAACATAAAACAGATAAAACAAATAAAAACTATAATAACAAAAAAACAGGAAAGCACAAGGGTTAAACAGTCTCAGCCGGGAAGGCCAGGGAATAAAAATAAGTCTTCAAACGTACTTTAAAAGTGGGAAGGGAGGGGTAAGTCGGACCGTCAGGGGGAGATGGTTCCGAAGTGAAAAAGCCCGTTCTCCACGGGTCATATAGCGGGCAGGAGGGACAAGCAGAAGGTGCTGGTCAGAGGACCTCAGGGTTCGCGCCGGAACATAGGGACTCAAAAGATGTGCCAAATAAGAGGGGGCCATTTCATGAATAGATTTATAAACCAACAGAAGAATTTTGAACTTAATACGAAACCGAACTGGAAGCCAGTGTAAATTTGCCAAAACGGGGGTGATATGCTGCCGTCGGTCTGTGCCCGTAAGAAACCTTGTGGCAGCATTCTGAACCAATTGCAGGCGTACCACTGAAGAGGAGGGAATACCATATAAGAGAGAGTTGGCCTAGTCCAGACGTGACGTTACAAAAGCACGAACAACTGACTGAAGATCTTTTTTGTTCAGGACAGATTTTTGTTTGGCCAGCCGGCGAAAACGAACGAAACACGACTTGACTACCTGATTTATCTGTGCATTCTTTTTTTAAAAAAGCGTCCAGAGTGACCCCCAAATTTTTAATTGTCGGCTTCACCAAAACTGACAATGACGGGGGCAGAGATGGCTCAACAGCCGAGGGGGAGCAGGGGGCAAAGAGAATAGCCTCCAGTTTGGAGCCGTTAAGATAGAGAAAATTAGCCGAGAGCCAGAACCTGACTTCTCTCAGACAGTCGGTCAGTGGTTGCACAGGGTCAGCAGATTTTAGGGCCATATAAAGCTGACAGCCGTCAGCGTAGAGATGAAATTTACCCGGAATTATCTAAAAATGGAAAGGAACACCTGAAAAGGCTGGTTAAGGTAAACTTTATCCATATTTTAAGTACATCTGCAGTGGTCTCTAGTAGGTCTGGTGCACCTGTTTGAGGAAGTTGGAGTCAGCGGGAGGAGAAAGTAGCTCCAGCCGACAGGAATTTGAGTTTTATTTCCTGATATTTGGAAATCTCTCCTCTGATTGGCCTACATGACTACCACAGACTCTTTACGGAAGAACACCTTAAAAAAATTCAATTATAGCTACAGAATTTGTTTCACTTACATATTAGCTGCTGTAAATTAGCTCTCACGAAAATACAATGACAAATTTGTACACATTTATGCTACTTTTTATAATTTGAATCACAAATTTCATACTGTGTTCTAAATCCGTGTGTGCAACTATAGCACGAATGACATTTATTTAAATGTTTTTTTTTCTGCATCCACCATTAACCAGCAACCTAACACTGGGTAGAACACATTTTAGTCCCTATATCTTATTCTGTATTAGCCTGGCAAGCCGTCCTATATATGTGAAAATAAATGCTGACCATGACCCATAGTTCAATCTCAGTCAGCGGTGGAATCGACAGTTTGAACGTGAACATGAACAGAGACGAGGGGGCCTATCAGCTGTCTCGCACCTGGGATTCCCTTCTCCAAAGACCAGCCAGCGGAGGCGGGCGTGACCGACCCAGTAGATCTGACAGATCTGGGTTGGTCGCGCCCATCAGAAAAACAGCTGATAAAGACCGCAGACGACGGTCGAAACTTGTACAAGGTAACTTGAAACACCTTCATGTCCGAAGCTAAAAGAACCTCGTTTAATAAGATGAATAGGTGTTCCTAATAATCCTTTAGGTGAGTGTACACCGCCGAAGACGCAAAAACATTATTTTTCCACATAAAGAACTTAAAGGCCCAGTGTTAATAAACATTTGACTTCTTTACGTGGCATTTTTTGTGACCTCTCAACTAGCCGTCAGCGCTACTGTGTCTCCCTCTCCCCCGCAGCCGAGCAAGCACCACTACAATGACATGTAGCCTTTAATGGGCCATTCCCATCTGTACCGGGTCGGCCCGGGCCAGGTAGCCCCAGTCGGCCCCAGCCTGGCCCGGTTGATTCCACACATCCTTGCCTTAAGCCCATGTGGGCTGATTCTACCCACCAATCAGAGGCTTGCTCTAATGGAAGGTGTGAATTTGCTGTCAGCAGTGGGCGTGTTGGCCCTGGTCGGCCTGAAGCAGACCCCCTCGGGAAGAGGGCTGAGAATGAGCCTTGGTTGGCCCGGAAAAATACCAGGCCACCCAGATATGTAAACAACCTACGCTACCCGGCCCGGGCCGACCCGGTACAGATGGGAATGGCCCATTAAAGGCTACATGTCATTGTAGTGGTGCTTGCTCGGCTGCGGGGGAGAGGGAGACACAGTAGCGCTGACGGCTAGTTGAGAGGTCACAAAAAATGCCACGCACCAGCTTTCAACCATCTGCACGTTTTTTAGTAATACATTTAATTTATAGGCACTTTTCAGAACCCAAGGTCACCTCACAAAAACATAAAACTTACAAGTAAAGTAACAAGATCAGATTATAAGAAACATGACAGAGTGAAGAGTTAGTAGACTAGAGAGTAAGCCAGTTTCAACAGACGGGTTTTGAGTTTGGATTTGAACGAGAGGAGGGAGTCTGCATATCGGATGTCAGGAGGAAGTAAGTTGCAGAGCAACTGAAAGCTCTGTTTCCAAAGGTGGCGAGACAGGTGCGAGGAACCATGAGGTGAATGGCAGGGGAAGACCTGAGGGCGCGAGAGGGGATAGTAATGTGGGTGATGTCGTACAGGTATGGAGGACGCAAGATGATGGACACATTTGTTGGTTATTTGCCGTTTCTGCTGCTTCCAGCATTCAGCATTTCTCCTAGGGAATCGAGAGCTCCGTCTGTGTTCTGTGACTTTGTGCAGAACAGGTCTGATCAGACATTTGCAGCAGCTGTGCCTTCTCGCTCCAGTGTAGCTTCTAATACATCTGCCACGTCACTCGTCTCCCGCGGCTGGGCGCACACGCCACAATTGTAAACTACTTCCATCTTTTAATCCAGTGATCATATATGGTTACAGCAGGGCAAACAACCCAAAGGGAAGGGGCAGAATTTCCCCAAATGAGCAAGGCCTCCACAGAGAGAACTGGTGCCAGTCCAGCATAACGTTACAGGGATGAGGAGAACTTTCATGACAAAGCAAAAACGTGAACTATTAATGAAAAAGGACAAGTAAGTAAAAATATTACACACTGTGGCATTCAGTACCTCTGTCTGCCTTTGACTCAAAGAAAAGCCCAAGTCTAATTAGTCCAAAGCCACTTTCAAATATTGTCTTTTTATTGTGATACATCATCTATTGTGATTTAGTATACTGTATTGTATTGTGTTTTTAATTATATATATAGCTATAGCTATCATTCTTGTCTTTATCCTGATGTCATGTTGTGTCTTTGTTGCTATAAATTTGTTATAGCAACAGTTTGTTAAGCCAACAGTCACCAACCTGGGGGTCAAAGTGGACCGTGATCTGAAGTTTGAATATCAGATTAACGCGGTGGTAAAATCTAGCTTCTTTCACCTCAGGCAGCTGGCAAAAATAAAGCCAGTTCTTTCACGGCAGCACTTTGAGACAGTGATCCACGCCTTTGTAACCACTCGGTTGGATTACTGTAACGCACTCTACATTGGGGTCAGTGCATCATGTATTAGTCACCTACAGAGGGTGCAAAATGCCGCAGCTCGTCTTTTAACTGGCACTCGAAAGTTTGAGCACATTTCCCCTGTTTTAGCTTCACTTCACTGGCTGCCCATTTCTTTTAGGATTCATTTTTAAAATCCTCTTGTTTGCTTTTAAAGGTCTTCATGGCCTCGCCCCCTCTTATCTCTCTGACCTGATACAGCCTTACACTCCCTCCCGCTCCCTCAGGTCTGCTGATCAGCTGCTCCTGATTGTACCCAGGACTGAGCGTAAACTGAGAGGAGATCGCGCTTTTGCTGTAGCAGCTCCAAAACTGTGGAACGAACTTCCATTAGAGATAAGACAGGCCAGTTCCTTACCAGTTTTTAAGTCACTCTTGAAAACTCACCTCTTTACCCTGGCTTTTGATACCTTGTGAGATGTTGGTTTCTATTTTTTATTTTATTTTAGCTGTTTTAGGTGATTCAATGTGGTTTTATCAAGTTCTATCAAGTTTTTAATATAGGGCTATTTTAATTTTATGTATCATGTGTTTTATTTATTTATCTTTGCTGTTTTCTGTTTAGTCAATTGTTTTAATGTATTTTCTGTACAGCACTTTGTTCCTGTGCTGGGTCTTTTAAAGTGCTTTATAAATAAAACTGGATTGGAACTGGATAAATATTGTACCATATCACCAGATTCTCGCCGTTACACATCCCTTATCAAATCATTTAAAAATTATAATTTTCACAATCGAAAATGTTCACATTTTCAAACAACACAAGTCCTGTAGGACATTCTGTTGTGTTCACCAGAGGTGTGGACTCGAGTCACATCAAATCAACTTTATTTATATAGCACTTTTCATACAAAAAATGCTACTCAAAGAGCTTCACAGGTTAAAATGGCCCCATAGATCCCATATTCCCATCCCAGCCCCCCTCCCCAAGTATAAAACAGTTGACAAATACAGTTCCCCTCCCGCACCCAACTTCCAAGGTGGACATACAATCACCCAGACACTCGCACACACACTCGCACGCACGCACACACACACGTGAACAACAGAGTAACAATAGGCTGAGTTCAGATGGGTCAGGTAATGAAGGACACATCATCAGCGGAGCCATCTGCCCTGACAGCAGCAGATCCACGGCAGCAGCCAAGACACCGGCCCATGACGCCCAGGGAGGGAGGGTGGAAACCCCCCACCACTGCCCGGGCACCACCCGAGGAGCGCCCCGGCCGCCGCCGACCACCGGCCCCAAGGCAGAGGGCTCCGCAGAGGAAACACTGGAGGATTAAAATATATAACCATAAAATAACAAAAGCTAATATGGATAGAAAGTAACTGATAAAAAGTGATTATAAAGATAGTAAAAGAAAACATAATCATGTAAAAACAGTAAGATGTAAATAAAATGATAAAATTAATTAAAAGAGATAAATAGGTATATATAAATAAACAAATATGACAGGTGATACAGTTAGACTAGATGAATAGTAATCAGTTCAAAGCTAAGCTAAAAAGGTGGGTCTTGAGCCTATTCTTAAAAGCCTGGACGTTTCCTGAGGTCCTCCGGCAGCCCGTTCCAAAGGCGAGGGCCGTAATACTTGAAGGACGCCTCGCCGTGGGTGTGAGTCTTCACTTTAGGGATAACTAGGAGACGGCTGCCAGAGGAGCGCAGAGACCGCGAGGGTTTATATAGTAAAACCATTTCTGAAAGATAAGAAGGCCTGAGACCATTAAGACACTTAAAAACCATTAAAAGAACCTTAAAATCGATCCTGAAACATACGGGGAGCCAGTGCAGTGATTTTAAAACCGGAGTGATGTGCTCCCTCTTCCTGGTCTTCATCAGGACACGTGCTGCTGAGTTTTGTTAAAGTTGTAAACCTGAGACGTTCTTTTTGGGAAGACCAGAAAGCAGTAATCAATACTGGTTATGAAAGCATGCATCAGCGTCTACGTATTGGCCCGAGAGAGAATGGGGCGGACTCTGGCGATATTCTTTAGATGGTAAAAACCTATTTTTGTGATGTTTTTAATGTGGGGAATAAAAGCCAGATCAGAGTCGAAAACAACGCCCAGATTCTTCACTTGATGATGGATAAAGACACTGATTGTAGTTTAGGTAAAAGTTTCTCTCTCTGGGTCTCAGGACCGACGACTAAAACTTCAGTTTTGCCTTGGTTGAGCTGGAGAAAGATTTCAGTCATCCATGATTTAATATCTAAAATGCAGTTAAAAAGTGCATCCATGACTTGGACTTGAGTCAAATTCGAGTCATTATTTTAATGACTTCTGACTTGATAAAATCTATAAAGACTTACGTCTTGACTCAGACTTGAACGCCAATAGCTTGCAACTTGAATCGACTTGCATCTGTTGACTTGATGATGACTCGAGCGTATTTGATATTTTAGCACAAAAGTGGCACGACATGGACACAACTCATAAATCATCCTTGGCTCTGGGTTTGATCTACTGCTAACTGCAGCAGCACTTTGTTTATAATCAGTTTCAGTTTCTGCTGTTTGAGCAAATAAATGAAGCTTTAAGAAGCTTTATTTCTGGAATTTATTTATTATCATTGTCATTAAATTGAAGTTGGACAGATGACTTGATTGTGACTTGAAAATTCAAAGTTAAATACTTGGACTTCCACATCATTGACTTTGGACTTGACTTGAAAGACTTGCGACTTACAAAGCAGTGACTTGGTCACACCTCTGGACTGTTCACCAAATTCCAGCAACTTTATTTCATAAAAGACAAACAAATGGAAACATCTCAAACAGTTTTATCAAATAATAAATTAAAACATAAACAGGCAAAATAAACTTTTTAACACAAAAAACAAACCTTTAGAAAACTGGTAAAAAAAAAAAAAAAGCGAGAATAAAGCAACTTGAAGTTAATCTTATACTAGACTGAGTTAATTAATAGAGCCCCGCTACCATCATTACATCTAGATGACAGCGATTGTGAGTTACGATCACGGCTCCAAGATGTCGTTTAACCGCCGCTAACCAGCTGGTCATAAAAAGCATCGCAGACCTGAGTAAATTACAGGTTTTCATTTAAATATTCATTTTGAAATTTCAACCTAATACCATTCTTCACAAAGTTTACAGCTACTTAAGAAGTCACTTTTGATTTTGGCAAGAAAATTCCAATAACAGACTTGGAATCTGCTGGTTGGAGGCAGCTTGACGTGCTCACGTCTGGAAAACCAAAACCAAAATAACTCGCGGTACATTCCAGAAATCTAAATGTGCAGGATTCCAGCAGAGGGATCTGAGACGACTAACCCCTTCCTTATTAAGTGAAAAATCAATGGGGCAAAGAGGTAACCAGTGGAAAGCAACCAGAGCAGTGTAGTGATGGGATCAACAGTAAATGAGTGGGACGAGGCGTGCAGCGGCGTTAGGAGGCTAATCCCAGGAAGAACCCTCCGACAAACCCGCTGGACAGGACGATGTTTCTCTTTATGAAGTCTGTGGCCTGCAGGAAAGAGGAAAACCGTAAATCAGGTGTAAAAGTCAGGGAATAATCTCAGAAATTTTTAGATTAACATGAAACACCTCAACGCCCACGCATATCCTGGGCCATCTGACCTCAGGAATTCACATGATAGGGTGGGGCCAGGCTTCACAATGAGCTCACCCGAAACTCTGGCTGAATAGGACCCACACCCACCCTCACACCTTGGCTCATGTGTTTATGTAGAAGATCATCAGGGGGTCTTTTGTTCCCTCTTCGGGGGGGAACTCCCACTGGGTTTAAATCTGGGACTCTCCACCATTTGACCTTTGAACTGAAGAAGCCTCTCGGATGAGAGGTGAAACGTCTTCAAGCAACTCAAAGAAGTCCAGACGCTTTTCTTTCAAAGCTCATTAGACTACAATGACCTGGATGACTGAGAACCTTCACAGACATGAGACGTGAAACAAAGTAGCCTAGGAATCTGGACCAAGGTTACATTGGAGCATGGCTACAGTTGCTGCAGCCTCAGCAGGTCTACGTCGGACCAAACAACTTAAGCTGGGCGTACACTGTGCGACTTTTTGACTCCCAGCGTTCAGCTTCAGCTCAAACTGTACGACTTCCTCGCAGAGCAGATCTCACGAGTCGTGTGCTCACACTGCACGACCCAGTTCTCGCATGCGACCTGACTGCTCACACTGTACGTCTGGTAGCAACACGCCGACCCTAAGAATATGCTAAAAATAGCAGTTTTTACTCAACACGTCAGACTTTTTTGTCTTGTTTTGCCTGTTGTCCTTTGGGAGTGCTGCAGGAGGACACACAGGGATTTGTGGGGGTTGGATGAGGAAAACGAAATAAAGAAAGTAAATCTGTGTTTAGTGATCAGTTTAATTTGACATGAACACGACAAACACGCTTTCTTGACAATCTTTGTGAGTAAAAAAACATGTAGAAACAAAAACGAACAGCGTGTGTTATTAGGGAAATAGCGAGCGAGTGGCGTTGATGCAGGATTGCGCATGCACCGTGAGCGGTTCTGATACTTTTTGGGTCGCAGCTGCTCGCAGCGCCGCTTCAACAGTGCGATAGCCTCACGAGGGACGAGCGAAATATTAAACACGCCAGAAGTCCGTGCGACCTCACGACTGCTGATCGGCAGCTGGTCACGTGGTGTTAATCGCCTCTCGTAACCCCCTGTACACTACACGACGCTCGGCGCAAAACTCGCCCCGATGTCGTGGATTCTCGCACGACTGGACAATCGGCTCAAAAAAGTGAAAAAGTCGCACAGTGTACGCCCGGCTTAAGTCGGGCCAATCACAGCTCTATATATTTCCAGAATGACACGCTGAAGACGTTTGAAAAAACTTTGGCCGACTCAGAACTGAGCTCTTCTTTGTGACATGAGCAGATAGAGCTGCTTAAAGGGACTTTACGGAGTTTTGAATTTTTATGCTCGCGATTGCCCCCTCAGGCCAAAAGCGTAACGGCAGCTTCAATAGTAGGCTCGTGCACGAGGCGCGCATGCTGTACGTGCACACTCCTTAACAAAAATAACAGCTGAGACAGTCCCGTGTGTGTGTGTGTGTGTGTGGCCCGGAGGACAGAGGACAGGAGAACGCGCAGCTAATTAATTAAATAACTTGGTTCTGTACCTTTCTCTTCAGCACAGCCGACAAAGGTTTAAGATGGGTCAGTCCTCCTGCATGCTCAGATCATTCCCTTCCCTTGCTTGAAAAATTGTTCCAAAATGAAAGTTGAACCCACATCTTTTTTATCTGTGAATTCAATGCTGTTCGGCGAGTCTCAAATAAAAATTTGGGCATCTTACTGTAAAAAGATATACCATTAATGTAAAAAAGAAACTCTAAATAAACTATGTTCACACCCAGAATCAAACCCAGGTCTTCTGCATGGGAGTCCGACATCTTACAAGGTGATCTACACTCTAGTAGCATTCACAGTATCTGTAATATTTATATCCTTGATGACAGCTGAAACAACGTCAAACCAAAGAACGGTTCAAAGCGAAAATGGCTATTTTGTTGCTAATTTGCAGGAAATATCTAGAAGAAAGTTCTACAGAAAGTAGCTAAGGGTCCTCAGAAATGTAGCTAGCTTTGTCACTAGGCATTAGGAACAGCGACAAAGAGGCACTGCCTCACTCTCTGCTGCTAAAGCTATGGATAGCAAATGCTACGGGCTATGCCTGAGCGTGAACGAGCATGAAGCAGCCTGCTCGACCCGAGCATCTCTCTTTTTCTGTGATTTTACAGAAAAACAGGCAATCACAGTAAAAATGCCAGGGCTCATTCTACAGGACCAGGGCATTGCAGGAGAATGTATGAAGAAGAAATTTATTATTTCTATACATGTTTTGGCTGTCAAACTTCCATAATGCCCCTTTAAGGCCCTAATTTAGCAAAAGATTGTATTTCCTGGTTCTACTTTTTCAACGGTGTGTGTTGGACTGCCCCGCTGACTGATTTCTGCAGCGGTGAGTGTGTCTCGTTGTTTGTTATTATGGCGCTAGCGCTGTCCGTGTGGAGACAAGACAACCGTAGATTCTGCTCCATTGACTGAGCTCTGTCTATGGGTCATGGCCAGACCACATATGTACGTTGATAGGACAGCTTTCCAGGTGAGAAAGGAGATTTTTGTTCTTGTAAATATGGCGGACAAAAAGGAAGAGGATTACAGTTTTGATCTGTACAGAAATTTAAAGTGTAGAGTGGTTATGTTGTAAGGCTTGCATTGTTGTTTTCTTATTATTTAGTCAAAAACCTTAATTTATTGCTGCTAAGCTCATTTTGTTTTTGGTGAATTAGGCCTTAATATATCTGAGGCATCACAGAGTGGTTGCTAAGCAACTAAACACATGCAAAGATAAGTGTGGGGATGAATCTGAAGGTCGGCCCGTCCTGTTTCACAACAGCTCACGTTGTCTTCGTGGTCCTACGAAGGACGCGGCTCCTGATTTTGGACACACTCTCCAACCCTGGTGACCCATTTTCATCCAGTGGGTCCCCATGGATATGGCTGAGAAATGCATGAAAGAAAAGAACCACTTTCTTTCACCATCTTTTGCAATATTATTGTTTTTACAGGTCATAAATTTTTTTTATTATAGTAAAATATTGTTTGTAGTATTTTAAGTACTTTTTGCAGTCCTATGTGAACACAGTTTCTCCCGGATCAATAAAGTATTTCTGAATCTGAGCCTGGTGTGTTGCTGGATCGAAGTGTAGTACCGCAAACACAACACTAGAGGGCTCTGTTTAGCTCAAGATGAAGAAACCAGCGCCATCCCTGCTGCCAGCTCACAAACACAGAAAAGTGGACATTTTAGGAGCCTGAGATGAAAACTGAGCAGAATCAGATTTAAAAAGAAGAAGAAAAAAACAAGATTTAGTTCCAGATACCTTTACCTCCTCAATGAATGTGTTTATTTCAGGAGCTGCTTTGTCGGCTTTCTTCTTCAGGTGCTTCTTGGCCTTGTTTACGTCCTTCTCCACCTTCTTCCAGTCCACCTGCACATAGCCGCTGTGATTGGCAATCTGCAGGTGTGAATTATGGAGTATAAATGAGGAAATCCATCTTTGCTTTACATTTAGACTACCAGTGAAGTGAACGGTGTTTGTGACGATGCCGTTGGACAGTCCAGGTGGCTCGTGGTTCTGCTCTGTAGATGTGACCAGCTGAGCGGCAAGTGATGCAGCCGGCATCGTCGGGATTACGTAAACACGGCGTTCCCGTGTTCTTACCTGCAACAGGAGGAACCCTCCACCAACGGCAGTAGCTGCGATTTTCCCGACCCTTTGGAAAACATAGCCGGCACACCTGGACAGGATGGGGAAAGGACGGAATGTTTCTTCAGAAATGAAGTAAGTCAGTATACAACTCAATTAAATGACCAAATAAAGGGAATTTTTTTGTTTTTTTCTTTGAATAAATGATTTAAATTCCTGCTGAGAAATTCTGACCGGCTTTGCATCTTTTCACTCTGCTGGAAAATCCCATTTAATTCATTTCCAGGACAGCAAGTCCAACAAAGGAGATCTATCAGACTAGATCAGGAGCAAGGAGTTTCTTTTCCTAATGCGGCTGCTTTTAACTTAGCTTCCATGCCTAAAAAACGCAGTAAAATCTGAAGATGTTTATATTATTGAGAAATAGGGCTGGGCAATAAATCGAAAATGTATCGTTATTGAAATTTCTGACTTTTATCGAGATAATTTTTCCCACGTCAATAAATGTGATAGTAATAAACAAAAAAGAAAGAATAGGTGTGTAGGTTGGCAACATTCATGGCCCTTTAAGAAGTTGTACTGCCTTGAGTCACGTAAAAATGCGATTTAACATAATACATGTGACAGCCCCATCTAGTGGGCAACTTTTGTTTCTGCGCATACCTGTAATTATCGTCCATTTATCGTTATCCAGGTGAAATCCTCAATATATCGTGATGTTGATTTTAGGCCACATCGCCCAGCCTCATTGAGAAAGAGCATAGGGGAAAAACACGCTAGTTGTAATATGTAGTGTTTCAATAAAGTTTTTTCAATAAACTGCTGTGGTCTCTTGATGTATGAATGCTTTGTAAATTGTTTTCTGTTGAAAAAAAAAAGAGCTCTGGCGCTTCTGTTTCAGGAAGCAGAAGTTTTTTGGAGGAGTGGGGCGTGGAAAGCAAACATCTTGCCTCTGATAGGCTAACAGAAACGGAACACTTCCGCTGGTAAAAAAAAAATGCATTATCGATGTTTAATCTAGCTTCTACTAGCCGAGACGTGCTGTAATATGTCCTTATGGTGGGCGGACCCAAGCCTAGATGGGCGGGGCCATGAAAACAAATGTTCCCTGTGATGTCGAAACTGTCTTTTTCTGACCCGATCGCTTGTTTCCTTTCTGCATCTAATGCAGATGATCGGAGTTAATGAACATTTTGACATTCAGCATGTGTACGTAGCCCGGATTCACCAGTCGTATCACTAAAAGAATATCACACGGTTTCTACCATAACAAGACCTTTTTAAATCCTAATTTTAAAAAGTCACAATGACAAAACTTAAGAACATTTATATGTTTTGGAATTTTACATTATTTCTATTATTTTCAAACAAAAAACTCTAAGTGGAAGATCATTAGTTAGACTGAAGTAGGTAGATTGTAAACAGATTAAAAAAAAAAGAGGATAAGGAAACATATATATACAAATACGAAACTCTTATAATATATTTGTGCCTTTTCCTACCATCCAGTCACCCCTCCCATTACGAGCTGGGTTGCCACTGAGTACTTTTCAGCAATGGGGCCGGAGCTGTTGCCGAACACTCTGCTCCACCATTGGTGCCGCCTGGCGTACTCCGTCAGGTCCACAACCTCGTAGACCTCCTCATCACCCTCTGGGTCGTCCTGACCCACTGTGGAACACATTTATTCTCATTATTGTGAGTTTTATACTAATATTTTGTCATTACACCAAAACACCATTATCTCGTAAAAGTCCTATTCAGATTACATCATCTTTAGTCAGTTTTTTTGCTGCAGTTTAATATTTTTTTATCTTGCTACATTTTTTTAGATAGTTAAAAAATTCAGTTGGTAAATAATATAGCTCTAAAAATAATAATAATAATAAAAATTAATAAATTTGTCGATTTCAAAATTAAAAGCCTCAAACAATTGCCTTTGTTCCTCCTTTATTAAGAGAACTACGGTAACATAAACATAACACAAACCTCAATTCTTTTATACAGTGTTTAAAATGATTATGCTGAAAATGTATTCTTAAATTATTTTGTTAGTTTTGGTCATCTCAAAATGTTGACATAAACGTATATAATCCTTTTCTTAATTTTTTTCTCTTTCTATCCCGTCAAATTAGATGTGCTAGTTCCAAAACTTTGTCAGTGGATAATTTTCATCAGGCGAATAAAAGGACACGAATAGCCGTTTACTGGTAAAGGTTGAGGACCCAACCAGTAAAATAATTTTATTGTGAAAATTAGCTGGTGAAGACTAACATCGTTCACACGGAGGTTGCGTTTAAAAAGCCTGGAAAATGTTCTTAACGGAACCCCACATGTCAGTTAAACAAAACCTAGTGCGAACCTGTTAAGAAATCCGTGATATTTGGGGTAGAAATAGCGAAAGTGTTTGCAACAAACACAATCACTAACCTTCTCTCTGCTCCGCCGTCGCCATTTTGGTGAAACTGGTTATGTCATCATGTTGACAATTGTCAGACCACGCCCATGCCGTGACGCTATGCCACGTCAGTTAGAAAAACAGTTAAATCGTGTTATTTGATTAAATTGTCCAGCGTAAAATGATTGCGTCAAAAAGCACATTTGTTTTTTTTAGTTTGAGGAACAGAAAATGATAAAAAAGTGCTGAAAGCGCGAAAGGCTCACTGCCAACTGTCAGTCCATCACTGACTGGATGATGGCCATTTTAATAAAATTATTACGTTTATTCTAATACACACACGAAGCACGTTAAAGACGATTACAGCCTCTTGAATATTTATGTGGTACAAATGTGTGGCTTTGGTGGAGAAAATTAATATTTAAGGAGAAAACGTTACAGCGGGGAAGTCATATGGTAAGAATGGAGCCTTCTGATTGGTCGAGGATGGGGAAGAGGGCGTGGCTACGGCGGCGCGTGGGTTCGCTTGCCTTTCACAATTATAACAACTTTATCTCCGCAGCCTAAACGCATTTAATTGTCAACTATCCTCATTTTGGATGCTTTACTCAGTTACGTGCATTGCAGTGACGGGACCTTTGTGATGAAAAATGTGACATTTGAGGAGATACCCGGAGAGCGCTTGTGTCCCCCCCTCCGAAAGGATATCGAATCGCATCTTATCATCCTGGGAAAAAGTTTTTGATCGTTTTGTTTTCTTTGGCGTCCTGCCTTTGATTCGGTGGAGCAGACCGTTTGCCCCTCGCGTCGCGGTTTTCCATGCAATCGTGCGGTGTGTCTCTCGCCGCTGCTGCCTGCGCTGCTGCTCGGAGTCTCGGCTCGGCTTCTTCTGGTGGTGATGAGGGAAAGAAAATGGCGGCGGGAAAAGCGAGTGAAACAGAGGAGGACTTTCCGACACTGACAGCCCAGGAGAGGGACACTTTGGCTGGGATCGACAGGTTAGATTCGCGTCTCCGTACACTCATTTGTACATTTATTAATAGAAAAAAATAGCCGCTTTATTTTCATGTTGAAAATGTCCTAGAATCGCGTCTGCAAACGACTGAACCGCCTATGTTGTCTTGTTGCTTTTGCAGCTCACTGTTTGGATTTCAGAAGCTTCATGAAGATGGCGCCAGAACGAAGGCCCTGTTGATGAAGGTAGGTATTCTAACTGGATGTATTTTTTGTTATACGTTAACGTGCTTCACGAGACTCATTCGAGGCTGTGTACACTCGTGCAGGGGAGTGAATTTCCCCTGGAAGTAACAACATAGGCCGAATTCAGGTGGCCCACTCGCTTCGGAGGGATCAAGGCCAGCTAGCCGCAGTTAGCTGCTCCCCTCCGATGAAGAGTGAGCCTGCACCTGCGGCTACCTGCAGGCGGACAAACCTCTTTTATTTTAACCGAGCCTTTACCGCGACTATGTTTTAGTTTGCAAAGCAAACGCCCTTCACGGCCGCCCTATCGCTAGCAGCGTACCCCTCCTTGTACACTTGCACTTATACCCTCGAACAATGTCGTCATGGTCCTGCAGACCGTAATGAGGAAAGTTTAGCGAACACCACAGTACATTAATACAGCAGCTAAACCCTCCTGTTTTAGCTGAAGTTGGTATTTATTTGTGAGGGATGGTGGAACAGCAGCGTTTTCTCCTGCAGCTCACTCCTTGACGTTCTTTTGCTAGGTCAGTTAGCAAACCTTCACCGCACTTTAATTGTGAATTTGACGCTTACATTTTTATGACTATCTGCACTTCGGCGGTAGTTGATGTGAATTTTCGTGTGAGGTAAATAGGAACTAGCCGATAGTAACGTTAATGGCTGGCTGTCCAAGATGGCGGGACGTGGCGGAGCTACGCCGATAGGTATATCACCAATTTGGTGCTAACGTATTGCTCCAAACCCGCTCGTGGTGCTTTCTGAACGTGCGACCCTTTGCCCGACCCACGGGCTCTCGGCTCCTTTGTTTACAGCCACGGCCGAACGTCGCGAGCTCATTTCACCTGCTTGCAAGAAACAAAACATCCTTTTTTTAAAGGTGAAAATAGCCCAAATGTGGGGAAGATTGTGGTGTTGACAGCTCGTGGTTTGGGGGTGGGGGGGCTTGGGTGAATTTGCACGCTAGGTGGTGTGCACTAGGAAGTGGAACTGGTCGTTTGCCATTAGTTGCACAGGAGGAGCAGAAGGCACCAGTGTGCCCGTACCAGTTTGGCAAATCTCGCGAGAACACGAGGTTCCAAGTAAATGGAGCAGACCCACAACAATCCAATAGACCCGTGTAAATCTCCTTAAATTGCCCCCCTCCAAAATGTGAACCGCCACACCCTAAAGCTGAAGCACTCTAAAGACTCAAAGCACGTGTTCAGTCTTCATTTAATGAACATTTTAACTATAAATGTGTGATCAGATTGGGTTCACTATAACTTCTGCTTATTGGCATGCTCCAGTTGTGCACCACTCATTATTTTCATGGTGTTTTTTGCAACTGTACTGTTAAAACAATCAAAATAGTTAAGACCATCTACAGTTGAGAAGCTGATTGCATTTTTTATTGCATTAAGTTAAGTCAAACTAAGCCTTGATGGGCTTTTAAAACAAACGTCAGCAATAACAGTTTTTTTGTTTTTATTTTTTTGGTGTTAAGTTTGCTCTGTACAAAAAAGTAAAACATCTCTACATGCTATGAAAACACCTACCACTTAAATCAATTTAATTCATGTTTTACACATTTGAGACTTTTTGACTTCCTGGTTTTGAGAGTTGTTCCATAGTCACAACAATGGCACTTAATTGTGACGAAACCATCCTCCACAAATGAAAAGATTGCAAGTTTTAATATTGATTTCTGTGGAAATCCTATAAGCATTTAGCATTTTACTACTAGATGTTTGAATCGTCTCAGTTTGGAAAAATACGGTTGAGATTGATAAGCTATCGGCTAGGCTAAGTGGAGCGGCTACAAAGCACTTTTTGGTATCTTAAAACATCTCTAACAGTTATGAACAGCAAATAATATTTTAATACACTTTTCCACCAATATAATTTTCACATTACATGGTTTTTCTCTTTAAAAATTAGAAGGGAAGCTATCTACTGTAGCACTTCCTGTTACAATGTTATAATTCTGCTGGCATGAGAACAACCGTATGATATTGTAAAGGTCTTACATGCGTCTTTGTATTAACCGCTGTTGGGCGATTGATGGAATGAGTTTGTAAATCTTATAATGTTTCCATTGCAATCCAGTTATTATGTTTATGTGTAGGGTTGTCACGGTGTGAAAGTTTAACCTCACGGTTATTGTGACCAAAATTATCACGGTTTTTGGTATTATTGAGTTTTTTTTTTAAATGTGTTACATTTTTAGACAACTAAATAAACCCTGTATAACAGGAAAATATTGTCCTCAGTTTGTGTCTAAATTTAGCCTAAAATGTGTAATTTTGCAATTATGTTGTTTATTTGTTTAAATATTTCCCCTTTAGTCTTTAAAATACCAATATTTGCCCATAACTTCTTATTTATTGTCTGTTTGATGTCATCATTTTAAAAATATTAGATCAGCTGATACTCAGTACTCAAGTAGCTTTCTAAACAGATACTTTTTTACCCTTACTTGAGTAATAAACCCTATATCAGGAAAATATTGTCCTCGGTTTGTGTTCCAGTGAGCTTTGCAGATTTGGGAAAATGTCATCAGGCAGTAATCATTGTTAAATTCATAATTATTCTTGGAGAGAGACCAACTCTTATCTGCCCCTGGGAGCCCCGTAATGCATAGCGTCATTTCAACATGGGGGTGTCCGCGACACAGTTTATATACAGGTAGCGGCGCTGCGGCTGCTTTATATAGCGACTCGTCACGTTCTCCCTCAACCCAAATCCTCGGATCACGCATTTTAGCTAAAACGCTAACGTTAACTTGCCTTGCGTTGATTGTAGAGTTGTGGGTGATGGTCACGCAGATGTGTCATGAGATTTGAAGCGTTGCTGCCTTTCACAGACACTTTTTCTGCACGTGCTGCAAACAGGATAGCTGTCTTCTATCAACTGTCCCTCAGCATTCTTCAAATATCCAAAAGATGCCCGTACTTCTCACTTTGTCTTTTTTGAGGGATAAAAAAATGTCCTGAGCGCTGCCGTCTCCTCCTTTGGTCATTATTTCAGCTTTAGCTTCAAGAAAGTTTTGGTTGTAAACAACAAAGTGTGCATGTGATACGGTGGCTGGTAAGGGTCACCGCACCTACACCGCAGCCACGGTAATCCACCGAGATAATATTTTTTTTGCTGGGGTTTACCGCTACACCGGTTACCGTGACAACCCTATTTGTGTAACTTTAACTTTCTAAAATGAAATCACCATTGATTAGATTTGCATCATTATGTCTACTAAAACTAATTTAAACCCCAATTGTGTTGTTGTGGACAAATACTTTGTCACATACTTAATTTTTCTGGTTTAAAGGTAAATAAAATAAAAGTTCAGCCTATTAACATCTGTAGAATAATTTTTAATAAGTTATTCTGTTGGGCATTCTTGAGATTAAAAAGTAGTAAATGGTGTTTGTGTCCCAGAATGACAGAGAAATCTAAACTTTGTCATTTCAGACTAGGGTTGTCACGGTAACCGGTGTAGTGGTAAACCCCGGTAAAAAAGTTGACAATAATAATAACCGTCTTGTTTTTTAAAAAACTGTATTATCTCGGTGGATTACCGTGGCTGTGGTGTAGGAGCGGTGACCCTTACCAGCCACCGTATCATCTGCTGAAGTTGCCGGCGGCACATGCGCACTTTGTTGTTTACGACCAAAACTTTCTTGAAGCTAAAGCTGAAATAATGGCCAAAGGAGGAGATGGCAGCGCTCAGGAGGGCATTTTTTATCCCTCAAAGAAGACAAAGTGGGAAGTACGGGCATCTTTTGGATATTTGAAGAATGCAGAGGGACATTTGATAGAAGACGGCTATCCTGTTTGCAGCATGAGCAGAAAAAGTGTCTGTGAAAGGCAGCAACGCTTCAAATCTCATGACACATCTGCGTGACCATCACCCACAACTCTACAGTCAACGCAAGGCAAGCTAACGTTAGCGTTTTAGCTAAAATGCGTGATCCGAGGATTTGGGTTGAGGGAGAATGCAACGAGTCGCTATATAAAGCAGCCGCAGCGCCGCTACCTGCATATAAACCGTGTCGCGGACACCCCCATGTTGAAATGACGCTATGCATTACGGGGCTCCCAGGGGCAGATAAGAGTTGGTCTCTCTCCGAGAATAATTATGAATTTAAAAATGATTACTGCCTGATGACATTTTCCCAAATCTGCAAAGCTCACTGGAAGGACACAAACCGAGGACGATATTTTCCTGATATAGGGTTTATTACTCAAGTAAGGGTAAAAAAGTATCCGATTAGAAGGCTACTTGAGTACTGAGTATCATCTGATCTAATATTTTTAAAATGATGACATCAAACAGACATAAAATAAGAAGTTATGGGCAAATACAGGTGCTGGCCAGTAAATTTAGAATATCATCAAAAGGTTGAACATATTTCAGTAATTCCATTCAAAACGTGAAACTTGTACATTATATTCATGCAATGCACACAGACCAATGTATTTCCGATGTTTATTACGTTTAATTTTGATATTTATAGGTGACAACCAATGAAAACATCAAATCTGGTATCTCAGAAAATTAGAATATTCTAAAGGCCAATGAAAAAATGTTTGTTTCTCTAATGTTGGCCAACTGAAAAGAATGAACATGAAAAGAATGTGCATGTATAGCACTCAATACTTAGTCGGGGCTCCTTTTGCCTCAATAACTGCAGAAATGCGGCGTGGCATGGACTCGATCAGTCTGTGGCACTGCTCAGGTGTTATGAGAGCCCAGGTTGCTCTGATAGTCGTCTTCAGCTCCTCTGCATTGTTGGGTCTAGCGTATTGCATCCTCCGCTTCACAATACCCCATAGATTTTCTATGGGGTTAAGGTCAGGCGAGTTTGCTGGCCAATCAAGGACAGGGATACCATGGTCCTTGAACCAGGTGCTGGTGGTTTTGGCACTGTGTGCAGGTGCCAAGTCCTGTTGAAAGGTGAAGTCTGCATCCCCATAAAGTTGGTCAGCAGCAGGAAGCATGAAGTGCTCTAAAACTTCCTGGTAGACGGCTGCATTGACCCTGGACCTCAGGAAACAGAGTGGGCCAACACCGGCAGATGACATGGCACCCCACACCATCACTGACGGTGGAAACTTTACACTGGACCTCATGCAACGTGGATTCTGTGCTTCTCCGCTCTTCCTCCAGACTCTGGGTCCTTGATTTCCAAAGGAAATGCAGAACTTGCTTTCATCAGAAAACATAACTTTGGACCACTCAGCATCAGTCCAGTCCTTTTTGTCCTTGGCCCAGGCGAGACGCTTCTTGCGCTGTTTCTTGTTCAAGAGTGGCTTGACACACGGAATGCGACACCTGAATCCCATGTCTTTCATGAGTCTCCTCGTGGTGGTTCTTGAAGCGCTGACTCCAGCTGCAGTCCACTCTTTGTGGATCTCCCCCACATTTTTGAATGGGTTTGTCGTCACAATTCTCTGCAGGGTGCGGTTATCCCTAGAGCTTGTACACTTTTTTCTACCACATTTTTTCCGTCCCTTCGCCTGTCTGTTAATGTGCTTGGACACAGAGCTCTGCGAACAGCCAGCTTCTTTAGCAATCACCTTTTGTGTCTTGCCCTCCTTGTGCAAGGTGTCAATGATTGTCTTTTGGACAGCTGTTAAGTCAGAAGTCTTCCCCATGATTGTGGTGCCTTCAAAACAAGACTGAGGGACCTTTTAAAGGCCTTTGCAGGTGTTTTGAGTAAATCAGCTGATTAGAGTGGCAGCAGGTGTCTTCTATATTCAGCCTTTTCAGAATATTCTAATTTTTTGAGATACCAAATTTGGAGTTTTCATTAGTTGTCACTTATGAATATCAAATTTAAATGTAATGAACATTGGAAATACATTGGTCTGTGTGCATTGCATGAATATAATGTACAAGTTTCACGTTTTGAATGGAATTACTGAAATATTTTCAACCTTTTGATGATATTCTAATTTACTGGCCAGCACCTGTATTGGTATTTTAAAGACTAAAGGGGAAAAATGTCAACAAATAAACAACATAATTACAAAATAACACATTTTAGGCAAAATTTAGACACAAACTGAGGACAATATTTCCTGATATACAGGGTTTATTTAGTTGTCTGAAAATGTAACACGTTTAAAAAAATACCACGATAATACCGAAAACCGTGATAATTTTGGTCAAAATAACCGTGAGGTTAAATTTTCACACCGTGTCAACCCTATTTCAGACTCAAATGGTGGGAATAAAAGCAACAAATGAACTTAAATGTTATATCAGTTGTTGCCTATTCAGTCTATTTCTTTACGTCTGCTTTGATGTGTTTTGTAACTCACTCTCTTGGTTTGTTAGTTTGTGATTAACCTGTCTGGCAGCATGGTCGTGCCGCCGCTCTGTGGCTCGGTGTATGGATGAGAGTGGGTTCAACGCTGCTGACAGAACTGGGTCAGCCTATCGCCACTAGTAACTAGATGGCTTTGATGCTAACTCTGAATAACTAGGCAGAAGCTAAACTTTCAGTTTTCAAACTCAAACCTGTTCTATCTAAATGCTTTAAAGTGTAAAAGTTTGTATTTTTATTTATAACACAAATGAAATAATACATTTAAGTCTTACCATAAAATAATTAATATTTTATAAACCCAAATGATCCATTTAACATAATTCCTTTTTAATGGAAGCCTGTGGTTTTGGCATTTAAAATAGAATAAAGATGAGCATAAATGTCTTTTTAGGGAAGTAAAATGATTTAGATTGTTTGTTTTGTGGCAGTTTTTATTACATCCACTTGATCTTTCTGTTAAGTTACGCTTCCTGTGATCCAGTGTTGGTATTTTATTAGACATTTGTCATTTTTTACAGTGTAAAACCTCCAAGTCAGTGGAGAAATGGTGGTTGCACAATATTAGATTGATGAGCTAACGGCTAGTCCATTGTATCCAGCCCTTTTTTTATTATTGCACTGTATTTACTCCACCGTATGGTTTGCATTTCTTCTGAAATAGTTAGAGATTCCCGTCTGGTGAGACCTCTGGGTAAAATTTATAGGATAACTGATTCTTTACAAGAATGTCCTTTTTTAAAGGAATGGCATGAAAATGTAAAAGCAAAGTGGAAATGATCTGAGAATTTAATGAAAGTGATGGTTTTCACGCTCGGGCGAAGCGTTTGGTCTCAGATCGGAGCTGTCCAGCATATGTTAGCTAACGGCACCCCTAATATTCTAGAACTCCGGAGTACGACTAGATTACTCGGCTGCGTTCATTGAAACTCACGTTCTTGCACATTTGATATTGAACTGATCACATCTGCTGACAAAGACAAGTGGTGACATCGCTGAATTGCAGGTTTAACCCGTGTTATTTCAATGCTCTTCCTCCAGGCTGTTCGCTGCTATGATTCGCTCATCCTCAAGGCCGAGGGCAAAGTGGAGCCCGAAATATTTTGCCAGCTCGGTCACTTCAACCTCCTCTTGGAGGATTATCCGAAAGGTGAGTCACCTTGTCTCTAATTTAATTTAATCTCGAGATTATTCGTGAATCTAATATTTGTCCCCTTTGAATTCCAGCATTATCAGCATACCAGAGGTACTACAGTTTACAGTCAGACTACTGGAAGGTAAGATGCCTGTTTTAGTAGAGATTACAGATTATTGCATGGAGAACCCACACATATATGGCGTATGACGCCTCGACTCCTTCACAGGAAGCATGTATAGTTTCAGTTGGGGTTAGATGTCAGGGTCACACGTGGTTTCAGAGTCATTTTGAATCAGACTTTGACACATGGTGAGGAAATGTTGGTTACAGTTTTTGCTGCTGTTGTTGTTGTTGGGGAACCAGCTGCAGGATTATGAGATCTTCTGTAATCTGTTAGCCACAGGTGAAGAACATCTATCTTAACTGATTTAAAGGGGTTCTAGAATTCAAAACCACACCTTGTTGAATAATGGCAGCTTGGGGTGTCTAATGTAGCATACCAGAAAGTCTACACCATCTCCGACCTGCATTCTTATGTAAATTAGTAATGTTGTAGTGGCCGTAGAAACGTAGATACACCACCTTACATTAGCATGTCCCAAACCCAAGCTAATGCCAGCACTAGCCTGAGCTACTGCTAACATTAACCCAACATACAGTCAGTCCTAGCCCGGGCTACCGCTAATGCAAGCTAAAGCTACTGCTAACTTTAACCCAACATACTGTTACTGCTAGCCCAAGCTACTGCCAACGCAAGCTAAAGCTGCTGCTAACATTAACCCAACATACTGTCAGTCCTAGTCCATGCTGCTGCTGCTAACACTAGCCTTAGCTGCTGCTAATGTTAACCCCAAATACTGTCAGTCCTAGCTCGAGCTACTGCCAACGCTAGCCTTAGCTACTGCTGACGCTGTTGGTGCACAGAGGAAAGCAACAACGAAGAATGCTGGACCACACCTATAAAATTCCAGGATGTACTGACTGATCCACGGGTTGCCTGTAATCCGGATACTGAACATGGCTGGTAGTTTGTCCTAAAGTTGAAGTGGTAGCAGCCGGCTGTTTCTCTACTGACATTATTGAGTGGAGAACCTTTCACACCAGTGGGGTTCTGTTGCTTAGTACGTGAGTGCGTAGTGAATGGAGGACCCAGGGAAGTGTGGCGAGACCGACAAGCGGATGGTCCAATCGTTGCTTTTGGACTGAGCTGTGTTATTGGCTGAGGGTTTTAGACAAATGCAGAGAACCACCTCATTCAGTCTTTATTTTTTAATCTTCACTGTATTTATAGTTGTGCCATGTTAGAACGTTGTTAAGAGGCAAGAGAAAATGTTTTATGCTACTTATTTTGTAAATCTGCTATTGTAGCTTCAAAACTATTGGCTAATTAAAGCTGTATGAAGAGTAACTAATTACACTCCTGGCTTATTTGAATTCTCATTAATTATTCATTTTCTCCATTCTGTCCAGAATGCTGCGTTTCTGTATGGCCTGGGAATGGTCTACTTCCACTATAACGCCTTTCAGTGGTGAGTCACTACTTTGTTTGCTACTCTTGTATAAGTTTCAGGCATTTCAGAGTCTTAGTTGACCCCTATCAGGGTTTTAAATCAATCTGTTTGAAAGCTATTTTCTCACATCTAGTGTTTTTAAAAAAAATCTGCCAAGTACAAGTTGTAGAACTTGCTCACACACGTCTCTTGTGGTTCCATCTCCAAACCTCAACATTCCAGGGAAAAGCATTTTTTTTTGCACTGACATTCGAGCTCCTGTTTATAGTTGCATTGTTGTTGCATGTTTTGTTTATGTGGTACTTTTTTTAAATTATTATCGTTTTAAAAAATGTTACATAATGTATTACCAAAAAATTCAGTTATTTATGTTAAAATTATTTTTAAAATAAGTAAAACAAAAATCTATTTAAACTATTCTAAAAACGTTTTTTTTTCTGTAATATTATTATTATTTTTAATGGCATGATTATATTTACCTCTGGAATCAAGCAAGTATATTTGAATTAGTAAAGTAGGACACTAATTAGTTTGTTGCTCTTACACATTTATTATGCCAAATTCATCTTTAAAATTAGAGTATCATGGAAAAGTTAAATATTTTCTGTCACTCACCTCACAAAGTGAATCTCACTACATAGATTTGTTACACAGAGTGGAAATTTGTCAAACTTTTAGTAATTTATGAATAGACCCTTCTACTGTTTATAAACAATATGACGTCAGCGAGAATGCGCGCGCAGCTTGGCAACAGAGAATGGCGTTGTGTCAGGCTTTATCAAGCTACGCTGCGGGGTTATCACCGACAAATCTTGAATTTTACATTATTAAATTCACTTAAATGAATGGCAACAGACTCCCGGATCCCTGTGGCATTACGGAATGGGTGGAAGATGTAGGTGCGTGGCCAGATATCCAGTGGCCCGATATATATACGTTTTTAGTGGAGAGGCCCAGTAAGTACACACGTGAGAAGCTACGGGCGTACAAATCGTTAGATGCATACAACTATGTTGTCTGTGGCCACGTACAGAAAGTAAAATATCACGACATAGACTCTGAGTTTTGCGTCTTGAAGGCAGAAGTCCTTCCTAGCCAAAGACAAGGACACAAGACTGCTATGTACGAGGCTTGGGTCATAGTAAACAAACCAGAGAACTACGTCTTCACAGCCAACTGTACCTGCATGGCAGGGTGAGTATAGCATAGGGTTGTCACGGTATGAAAATTTAACCTCACGGTTATTGTGACCAAAATTATCACGGTTTTCGGTATTATCGCGGTATTTTTTAAACGGTGTTGCATATGTTCAGAAAGCATTGGTAGTCCTGTTCTACACAAACTGAAATAGTTTTGAAAATGTTTAACAGTGTTTATTAAACCTAAAATAACACAAAGCCTTAGCAAAAGTGCAACTTTTCACAAGTAAAGGAACAAATAGCTTATTTTTCTGGAACATGTTACAGTAGTCAGTGCAGGTTTAAATGATACAAATCCAAACATTCAAAACATAAACAATATGTAAACAAATCAAAGAAACACCACTTGTTTTCTCATATACTTGTTTTCTTCATTATCAAAATGAAAATCTAAAACTCCAGTCCACACTTGACTTGAGCACTGTACAAGTCAACCTTAAAAAATATGTATTTAAAACAAATAGCCACTTTAAACAAATTACTAAAATAACTACTACACTATGTAATCAAATCCAAATGTTCAAGTATAAATGGCATTGAATAAGTAAACAAATCAATGACAAGGAACTAATTGTATATTTCTCTTCATCATCAACAAATAAGATGCTTCATCCAGCAACAGGGTGTCCGTGACACGGTTTAAATGCTGGCAGAGGACGCTGCGGCTGCAGTATATAGTGACTCGTTGCATTCTCCCTCAACCAAAAGTCCTCACGTCATGCATTTAAGCTAAAATGCTAATGTTAACTTACCTTGCACTGGCTGTAGAGACGTGGGTGATCGTCACGCAGATGTGCCATTCGATTCCAAGTGTTGCTGCCTTTTGCAGACACTTGTTTCCTGCACGTTCTGCAAACGGGATAGCCGTCTTCTATTAACTGTCCCTCAGCATTTTTCAGAAATCCCAAATATGCCCATACTTCCGATTTAGTCTTCTTTGAGGGCTGATGGATGTCCTGGGCGCTGCCGTCTCCTCCTTCGGCCATTATTTCAACTTGAAAGTTTTGGTGCCGTTGCAAACTAAAAAGTGCGTGTGCGCGCCGCGGGAACTTCAGCTGAAGCGACGGTGGCTGGTAAGGGTCATCGCGCCGAAACCGCGGCCACGGTAAACCCACCGAGATAATATAGTTTTTTAAAAACTGGACGGTTATTTTTATTGTCAACTTTTTTACCGGGGTTTACCGCTATACCGGTTACCGTGACAACCCTAGTATAGCATAGGTTTCTTTTTTTAGCGCGCTCAGAGTACAATTGTGTTAATTTTAGAGAAATACAGTTTATACTAATATGCAGTGGGAAAATACAGATGAATTAGAATGAAATGTTAATTTGAAGCATGAAATAAAGCGTATAAATTTGTTTAATTCTGTAATTTTGATGTTCCAGACTTGGGTCATGCTGCAGCCACGCAGCAGCAATTTTATTCAAAGTTGAGCTTTGTGTTAGGAAGGGAAAAGCAGAAAACCTCGCCTGTAAATAGACTGCTTAAAATCAAACCAGCAAACGCAACTTACTTTATTTAATAGAACACACGTTAACCAGCTTTCTGGTGTAATCTTAGTACATAATTACCTTACCTGATATAAAATGGGCGCTACAAACTCGAGCATTTCGGATCATGTTTTCAGTCCAGTTTTCATCAACCCTTTTGATGGCCTGCAGCCACAGACGCCTCCGATTTTGTTGAAATGGATGTGCTCCCTTCGGAATTCTGTAAAGTTTCAATCCACTGCTTGAAGAGAAGCAATTCTGGCATCCATACACGCAACAACCCGACATTTTTATGTGCTCAGAACTTCAAAACAAAAGGTTTCAAACGCTGTTTTAGTATCAAGTGTGAATGAGGAAGCCTTCACTCTCGTTGCCAGGCTGCGCGCGCAACTTTTGATGACGTAGGTAGTATATGGTGTACAGATAAGAAAATAAGATCATCTGCTGTACCCTCCCCACTTTGAAACACATCTACACCTCCCAAATGTCAGAAAAGGCAACAAGTATCTCAAAAGACTCCTCACATCTGAGGCATTGCCTCCTCCCGATGTTGAGATCAGGCAGTAGATGCGGAATAACAAAAATAGAACAAACGCTTTAGAAATAATTTTATCCGAGTGCAATCACATTCTAAAATTCCCAATAAAACTCCCTCTCAGTGTGCAAACATAGGCCCCAACCAAACCAGTGTTGTTCATGTTTATTGATAGACTTCTTGAATAAATGCTGTTTTTAATGGACTTCACCTAAATTTGTTCCTTATAAGAAGTAACATTAAAATTGTTTGATTGGAAAGCCCAAAATTTAGTGCATCAGAAAAAATATTCCATCCTTCCATTTTCCTCTACTTATCTGGGGTCGGGTCACAGGGGCAGTAATTGAAGCAGGGAGGCCCAGACTTCCCTCTCCCCAGCCACTGGGCCAGCTCATCCAGGGGAATCCCAAGGCCTTCCCTGGTCAGATGAGCAACATAGTCCCTCCAATGTTTCCTGGGTCTTCCTTTAGGTCTCCTCCTAGTTGGACGTGACTGGAAAACATCACCAGGGAAGCGTCCAGGAGGCAACCTAACCAGATGCCCGAGCCCCCTCAACTGGCTCCTCTCGATGTGGAGAAGCAGCGTATCTACAAATCCCCTCCCGGAGCTTCTCACCCTATCTCTAAGGGAGATCCCAGACACCCTGTAGACAAAAACTCAGTCCATCCGCTTGTATCCACTATCCCATTGTTTCGGTCACTACCCAAATCTCATGACCATAAATGAGGGTAGGAACGTAGATCAACCGGTAAATCAAGAGCTTTACACTCAGTGTGCGCGAAAAAAAGAAAAGATGTGTGTGACATTCATGTCCCTTTAAGAAGCTGTACCACCTTGAGTTACGTAAAAATGCAAGTGGTGCTCGCTGCAGAACCACAAAGGCGGAGCTGCACCAGAAGGTGGAGCTACACCAGAGTCAGCCCCGCCCATTCCATCAGAGTCAGTCCAATTCCTTCCAGTTGTCAGACTTGATAGCATTCTGGAACCAAAGAGGGTGTTATAGCTAATATCATCTAAAATGCAAGATTGAGGATGCAGTTGAGAGGTTAATTGAACAGTTTTTGTAAAGGTTCCATATAATTAAAAATCTAACTTTTGGAACTTTTTACCATGTTATATTGTCGTTTCCTCATAAGAAACACACCAAAGCCATTTTTTGGCTCATTCATGCATTTTCCTCCCATCTCAGCTTCAATTTGGTCTCCTCCTCTGAAGCGGGTCTGGTCTTTGTTCTCAAATCTGGATATTCTGTGAATTTTCTGACAAATTATTTCTGAAATGACTTCTACTGAGACACCGCCGGAAAAACCATACATCCCATCTACAACGACACACTGGATGGCACAATTACATGTGACGCCACTAGCTTGTTATCAGATGTAGTGGTGAAGTGGTTATGGAGTCAGGTTGACATGCTGTTTTGCGCAGGTTCGCCTCTCAGTAGCGGTAGTATTAGGAAGTTTATAACCCTATTTCTTCTTTTCTAGCTGCACTTGCCAGTACTATGTTTACAACAATTTATTGGTATACCGTTTACAATATAATGACTAATGTGTTTTGTTATTTATTCGTTTATTTAGCCAGTGTGAGTCCATTTGTGAGCAGAGTTTAAACTAAAATGCTGTTTAGGAACGACCAAATTCAAAGAACTTTTAGAAACATAAATATTTGGCTGAAAATAAACATTACAACTAAAATATAAACAAATCAAATGTTTCAGCTGGCTAAAAAGATTGCTTCCGACCCCACCGAGAGTCGAACCAGCATCAGCTGAGGGGAAAGCAAAACTTAAG